CTCGGCAGGAGAATAAATAAACAGTGGAGGCACAAGCGTCACAGCCGCTTGACAAATCAGGGAGCGTTGGCGCAATGTTAGTGATCGTGGACTCCCGGCTCGCCGCTGGCGGCTCCTAAGAGCAACTGCTTGTGAGCATTGAGGCGTGGAGTTCCACATATCACAGCCAAATGCAAGCAAACCTTTCCGTCACCTGCGGAGGAGGTGTAGCGGAGCTATCAGAACTCCTGAGGGAGGATTTGTAACCAGTGGAAATATAAAGCCTTGCTGTAGCTGGTGCCAAGACAGGATGCGTCGCCCACCGCTCCTGTCAAGGCACCGGTTGGAGAAGAAATCTCTAATGCAAGGAGAATGGTGGCCGTGAAAGATAGGCCCACGTGCAGCAGTTGTAGTCGTCCAAGATGAGGTTGCCAGTCCAATAACGGTAAGGAGAGGAAACTGTTTCAGTCAGAGTCCTCCAAAGCCAGTGGAGGCAAGTTTCCAAATCGAAAAGCTCCAGCCCCCTAACTGGAGATAGTCAGTGGCGTAAACTTGGTGGCCAGGATGAGTCGTCCTGAAAGTTGAAGGTAATGTCAATCCATATGATGGCAGTGTCAATCCAAAGGATGAAGTTAATGTCAATCTCGAAATAGGCAGTCTGGAATATAGAGACGGCGGTCTGCCATCTAACTCGCAGCAGAACATGGCAGCACACGCATCAGAAGGACGATTGAGGCTACCTGTTGAAGGCCCACGTTGCCCTGTGCCAAAAAGCCTACCCTTAAATCCTAAACCCTAAAACCATAACTGAACCCAGCGGCTGTGCTCGAACTTGGCACGGAGCCCATCATCTGCTGCGAGGTGTTCCCACACTGCCTGGCTTTGGGGTAAAACCTAAGGATTCAGGGGTTTAGGGGTCTATAGGGTTTAGGTACTTATGGGAACAGGATACTGGTAACACCAAGCCCTACAGTCGTGAACCCACTATACCCCCAAAGCCTACGCCTCAACCTCAAACCCCAAGCCCCGTCTTCTGGAGCCCAACATGCCCAATATTTGTACCCCCTCTAGGTTCCCCAGTAACCCCTTGATAAGAAGTTATTTTTTTTTCGAATATACCGTTTTGATAAGGAGACACCCAAATAAAAAGCGAAAAAGAGTACTGGGGTAGTATTGTTGCATAGGCACCAAAAAATGCACCCGACATCTCTAAAATGAATGCCCTCAAAAAGAGGTGCATCATGGAAAGGCCTAAGAAGCTGGACGAAGGCTACATTGTGTTCTAGTTGTGTAAGGTTCATGAGAGAATCATGTTGGTAAGAATTCATGCTTTTATGCTAGAGTCTCCCGAAAACCCTGATAACTGCAAATGAACCTGAGAAAGTTTAGAGCTGCCTGGAAGTCGGTGATGGGCGTCTCGCCGCCACAGCGTTGCTCAACCTAGTGCCCCCTCCCTTTGACTAGGGTAGGTTAAGGAGCCATACTTTTCTTTCTTTTTCTTTATTGCGTAATAGAAAGTATAGAAGCCAATAAGGGTAATTAACAGAAAAGTGTTCAAACCGCCCCCTGTTTAACAGTTTATGGCATGATCCCGCGGCTGAATATGAGGGAGCGTGTTCTATCACGAACCCCAAGCAGGCCCACAACTATTCCCAATGCAAGGGCTACTTCTATCCATCTCGGGTCCAGGCTTTCGGCTCAGGGTTTGGGGTCCAAGG